AAAAGCTGCTGGGCCCCGTGCCAGTCCCCAGGGCCCCTCTCCATGACGTCCATTTTTATCAGGCCCTCCTGATGGCAGGACTACAAAATCTTTCCTGGAAAGGCCTGCAGGTCCCTGGACTGACCTTGTCCGGATGTGTTTGATCAGCTGTCCCTGGCCTGCACCGGGGGAACCCAGTGCAAGGAGAGCGGCAGGCATGCTGTTTGATCAGAGCAGCTGGGGAGCTCAGGCTAGCTTGCTCAGCCTTCTGTTAATCTCATCTCAGAGGACAAAGAACGGAGGCTGTTCCCACAGACTCTCCCGCAGCTATCTATGGGAGCATCCTTGCCAGAGATGGGAAGCAGTGTGGGGAAGACAGCAAGCAGAGTACCGGCACTCCCCACTTTCCCAGAGAAACAGTTTGTCAGGTTTGGTCCCTTCCTCAAGGCTCAGAATCCAGCAGGGATGGAGCTGCAGAACTGTGGCAAAACCTAACTTCTGCTGCCAGGGTTTCCATTGTATAGCAGCTGGAGAGGAACCTGGGCAAGCCCCACCTCCCTGGGACTCCAGCAGCACTCGCCCCAGGCCGGTGCTGCTCTGGCCTGCCAAGCTGCAGATGGGCTGTGAGCAGGAAGGAATGGATGGAATTATAGTATATGCCACCCGTGGGAAACAACTCCTGCAGGACACATGGGGCACAAGCTCTGTTCCTGCTCAGCAAAGCGTGCCTGGGCTGAGTCCCATCTCCTGCGGCCAGCAACACCTAAGCACCCAGTGAGTACACTGTCCACAACCAGCTCTGCAGAGACAGGCACACCACAGTTGATGTGGGACCTATGTTTTAATAGCACTCAGTGAGGGAGCAAAAAGATTCAGAGAAGAGGGGAGCATGGTGTTGCACACCCTAGATGCCTCTTCTCAGAGAAACCCAAGCCACAGTGGTGATGACATCCCCCAGTACTTTATTCCTCCCATTTTTCTCTTTGTGTATACTTTGAGCCAGGGTCTCATTATGTAGCTGGCAGGCTTCAAACTCAGAGATGCTCCCGAGTGCTGGGGTTAGGCACTCACCCAGATTTTTTTTTTTAAAAGGGTCTTGCCAAGTAGCCAAAGCTGACCTCCAACTTGCTCTGTGGTCCAGACAGACTTCAAATTTACAACCTACCTGTTTCTTCTTCAGGAAGGCTGGGGAAATGAGACTTGTGTCATCACACTAGGCTGCTTTTCTTTTTTTCCGCTTTCGCCCGAAGACATCCATGATCATAGGCTCACAGAGAGTGAGACAATGAACAGTAGAATGAAGATGCCTGCAGCTTAGCCACGCCCACCACACTTGGTCCAGTGGTGCTTTTACTCTGCTGTGACCCTTCAGCTGTGCTGCAGAGGACTCCAGGAGCCCGTTTGTCCTAGGGAGGCTCTGGGCTTACTGTGTTGCAGCCTAGAGGCCCTGTTCTCAACCTCCCTTGGATTACAAAGGGCTCTGTTCCTCTTGGCTCTTGCCCATTCCCCTTGAACCTATCACAAACAACGGCAACCATTTCAGAGCCTTTGCACTCAGGTACTTTAAAATGTTAATGATTGTTCACAATCACTCTTAGGAAAGGTTTGTCCAAGGTCATCTTCTTAGGAAAGGGTGGGGCTCCCACTTCCATCCCTTGCCTCTATGCTGCGGTGCTGCCCCTCTCAGCCAGCGACCCTCATCTATTGGCTCACCAGGGATCCCTCAGCCCATTTCCTACTGTGTTCAAACCATCCAGGGCCAGCCCTCTCTATATTCCCCTTCCTCCAGGGCCCAAGGACATACTTCAATTAGCTCCCACAGCAGTGCAGACACTCAAGACTATTGGTCCAGATGAGACCTGGACCAGCTCTAGTCTCTCTGCAAAAATCTCATGTGGACAGAAGGGTGTCTGTGGGTTCTGCACACCTCCACCTATGTGCCCCAAGACTATTCCAGCAGGGTATGGGACCTGAGTCCTGCCTTCTCAGCCTTGGGGCCAAGCCTAGCTCGAAGATGCAGGCCTCCCCCCTTCTAGCACCACCTCTTGTCCCTTGCCAGTGGATAGCAATGCGACATCTTCAGCTCTGCTTATTTTAGTTATCTGTTGCACACTTGCTGCTTTAGGGGCCACAGAGATTCAATACATAAATGAAAAGTGGTAGATGTCGCAAGGGATCTCAAGGGATTCAGGGCAGGGGAGACAAGGACAGGAGAGAAAAAAGATTCTCCTTGTATAGGCTGGTCTGTGTGTAAACCTTCCCCACTAAACTCAGTAAATCCAGACTTTGACTTGTTCCCTAGCCAAAGAGTAGCCACCCGCCCCCCTTCAAGGAGCTGAGCAGGTGTCCCTCAGACCCCGTGCTCTGAAATGTGGCCCACACTGCTCTTTGGAAAGAGGATGTAAAATGAAACTCTGCACCATTAGAGTTATCTTCCCCGCTCCCCCTGAAGGTGCACAGTGGTCCTAGGACAGCAAGACCTTTGTCCAGAACCAAAAAGAAAAAGGGTCCACATCACTAGTCTCCTGAATACATGTACCACAATTGCTTCACACTACACACTTTATTTCTAGCCACAGTGCATGTTGAGGGGCGTTCTGACTTGCAATCCAGTTTCCACAACATTCCATGGGGCTGGTTGTACTGGTCATGGGCAGAAACAAGCATCACTGGCCTTGCTCAGGGCAACCATGGCCACTTTCATAATTTTGAGGCCATGTAAATTAGTCCAAGGAATTATTTCCTCAACAACATGGTCCCCAGAGAACGCACCCCTCTCCTCTTCTTTATAGGCCCAGTTAGACTAGAATAAGTTTGAGTTTCATTCTGAGTTTTTAGCATAAGTCCTCAGTGCTCCAAAGTCTCCATAGCAACAAAACTATTAACCTGCCTCTCACTCCCTTGGCCCCACATCTTTCACTTTCTTCCAGGCTCCCAAGTATCTACTGTGACATCCAGGGCCCTGCAGAACATGGCTAGGCTGGGAGAGCTGATTGGAACAAACCAGTGCCATTGCCACCACTGGCCAACTTTCTAGTTCCAAAAGAAATACTCCTGTCCCCTAGAAGCACTTGCCTGCTCCAAGTGAGGCTGTCAGCATCTCCATCTTTCCTCAGTACAGGTTCTCAGGCACGTGAAATTTAAAGGCACACTCTCCCACCCCTAAGAGAACAGAGATCTTTTTTCCTTATTTGGCATGTCTGTCCCTCATCCCTCAGCTCTGACCACTGGAGCTCAGGCCCTAGGGAAGAGACTGAGGAATACCTGCTGTGGTCGGCATGGGACAGAGGCTTCCATAGAATGGCCAGCACAGCACGCAGGCCTAGAGTTTAGGTCACAGACTTGGGTACTGACTGAACTCAAAGCTTTTCCAACACAGAGCTTCGAAGACAGAAGAGAAGTCTTATAAAACAATCAAGAAGGACTGTTACATTGGCCCAAATGCTCACAGCAGTCTCTGCTCTTCAGTCGTCTGCTTGCTGTCCATGTACTGATGACGGGCCAACCAGACATCAGCTTGGCATCTGCCTTCCCCTCTTCAGTGACTGGATCAGGCACCCTGAGGAGGCCTGGGGCCCCATTGCACAAATACACAAATTTCCAGAACCCGGAGACTATTCTAACTGCTGCCCAAGGACCAGGTAGGCAATATTCATGGAACCACACTTCCATTGTAAAAGCAATGTGGACTAAGGCAATCCATTAACGATGCCCTTGGTGGCAGTTCAGGCCTCTGGGGCAGCAGCGGCAGACTTTCCCCAAGCTTCTTTGGAGTCACTGTAAAAAGTCAGGCAGCTGATGCAGAGGCCACCGGTCACCAGCACAGAACTCACTCCCTGTGCTCCTATGAGATCCAGCACTGCAGTGTTCCCAGCAGAGTGTGTGCCAGAGCTGTGCATTCAAGTATGGGTGGCAAGCCTACCTGCCCCATGGCTCTCTGCAGCAGATGACATCTGGTCACTGAAGGAAGTGTGTGTATGAGCACCACCTGGGTCCCCAGGAAACCTGAGGCTGGGTTTCTCAGGCTGGGAAGGGTCTGACTCTTGGGTCTGTAACCTCCAGCTCTCCATATTCAGGCTGACTTTCCCTCACAGGCCCTCAGCAATGTATTATTTTGCCTTTTGTCAGGAAGAGACTTTTTTGATAACGCTCATAATGGTTCCTAACTCCACTTCATGGCTTGTGAGGTGCTGTTCCTGACAGAGCCTGGAAGCATGTGCCATTCCACTGTCTTTCAGTGGGTTACTTGATGTGGAGGGACCAGCACACCACTTACAGATCAAGAGCTCCCCTGGTTGGCTGCCACAGGTCCGAAAGCCAGTGGTGTGGGAACGCTGAGCTTCCAGGGAGGTGAAGCCTCGATGTTTGAGCACCATCTTCTGGTCAGGGTTTGGTTTCTGAGGCTGACTGGCTTTGAAAAACATTTACTTTAGAAAGGGAAAGATTCCTTAGCTGATAAATTCCAGCAACCTGCATACATAATGAGGAAGATAGGCTTGACTGGGATATGCTGGCCAGAGTTGAAATTCAGCATGGAAACTCACCTGGGCTGCCTGTGCCCAGCTGAGGCCAAAGGGGAGCCTTTGAACACACTGTCTGGTTAAACTGCTACCTCCTGTCCTCCAGGGGGACAGCTGCAGGGATGGTGGCATTAAACACTGCTGTCTGGTTAAACCGATACCTCCTGTCCTCTGCAGTGAGCCAGCTGCAGGGATTGGTGACCAAGCACCTCATCAAGACCAGACTTGACCCTCATCTCTGCACATGGTCGTGTGAGCTGCACTTGGCCAGAAGGGGCAGGCTTATCTCTGATAGCAGGTGGCTTAAAGGCAACAGACCAAATCAGGGCATTCCTTTCTGTATGAAGTCAAGCCACACTAGGTACCAGGGAGCCCTGCCTGATGGGCAAAAACTGTGCTAGCCCACTTCGATCTTTGGGCTTCTAGGAAAGGAAGATAAATGTGAGCCCTTCTCTCTAAGCAGCAGGAACCAACATCCACCTAATTGCACTTCCAACTGGATTCCACAAGCCATCAATTACCAGACTGTATTTCAAAAACTAAAGATAAAAGGCTCTGTGACACTCAGGCTTGAATGGAGCACCGATCTGCAGTAAGCCTGCAGCCAGGGGAGCCCAGAGAGCAGGCCGTGCACCAGGCAGGTGGGCCAGTGGCAGGAGAAGCAGAGGCCCCCTGGGATGCTTCTCATCCGTCACATGCAGACACAGGCCTGCTGTTCATTAGGCTATCACATGCTTCAGAGGAAGCTAGCAAGAGGTCTCCAGGCTGAGGAGACGTTTCAGCCTCAATTACTGGAAGGCGTGGAAGGCCTGAGGATCACAGGGAAGCTCTCCACAAGGAATGCAGTGAAGAACATCCAGGAAGACAGACGCAGCTGGATGACCTCCCAGCAGCAATGCTCCGAAGCTTTGTTTTGGGAAAGACAGAGCAGGAGGGCTTCCTGTACTATTAACATTGCCACCTGCTTTAGAGTCAAACTCTGAGGGGCACCTGAGCAGAAGGGAGGATGGGGAAGGGCAGGCTGCTAAGCTGGGTTCCCTGGAGGCTGTGTTGGTGCTTTACAGGCAGAGGCACTGGTGGTGTATGCAGGCTGTCTGTGGGCTCAGGTAACCCCCCTGCTCCTGAGAGTATCCAGCATGCTGTATCTCCTTGGCCACCTTGGCCACCAGGTCCCACCAACTACTCCTTCAGACTCCAATTTCAGAAGCCAGACTTCCCGGGGGGGGGGGGGGTTGGAAGAATCTGGGCCTGAGCCACAGCCTGGAGGACTGAGGCTGTCTACCACACAGGCGGCAGTGTTGGCGTCAGAGGGGATGGCTTACACACTGTCCTAGGAAAACAACAATGATCTCCAAGTAAGAGCATTAGGGTGGGGTTAAGCGGAGCAGCTTGCCACTTGGGACCATAGTTAGAGCAGAGCCCGGCTGGCTGTGAGCTTCCTCTTAGGTACAGTACAGTCCCCCTCTATTAGAGGGGCACCCAGTCACTTGGCCTCACCACAGATCAGGGTGACAGTACCGTCCAGCAAATCTTCCACAGCTACTGCCACAAGCTCAGAGCTGTTCTGAGATGTCTGGGAATCTGGCAAGGTCACAAACACCTGTGAGCCAGCAAGTTGAGTCTCCTCTAACGTGATCACCTGTTCGGCTGGGGCCACTGGCTCTGGAGCTTGGATCACCTGAAAGGAAAGACAGGAAGGCTGCTCCGGGCAGTGTCCACAGTGAGCTCCCCAGAATTTACATGGCTCCAGTCTCACACGGTAATGATGATATTTACGCTCTCACCTGAGGAGAGCAATTACTTACACCTAATGGGAAGAGGGAAGTTTCATACACCAGTGATGCAAAAGAGAGGCAGGCAGACAATTTAAATAACTCTGTGCACTAAATTGCTATAATTTCGCTCAGTACGCCACCTCGGGGTGCATGGACTCTGTGATTACACCCCAGTGAACACTGGAGCAGCAGCTTGCACTGGCTTCTCCTGTCTCAGGGATGGCATTGCAGAGTAAGCGCCATGCAAGAGCTACAAGGAAACAGAGTGCTCGACCCAGAGCTTGGACCTCTCGGAGGCCGAAAGACTTCTTGGTGGCTCAGCTTGGTGGCTCAACTATGGCTTCTTCCAGTCTCTTCAGTCACTTGGCTCAGTGGCTGGTGGGGCAGACACAGGCTCCTGTCCCCTCCACAGGCCACAGCTGCCCCTACAAACCTGGACACTGTTAACAATGGCCTTCCCAGCTCTTCTGTGGTCCCTGCTACACCTCCAAGCTGATACTTTTGACAGCTTGATGCCTTGACATTTCTAAGGCAGTATGTCCCCAAGGGCATAGCCACCTGGCTCCAGACGACCAGCTAGGGTTGGAGAATGGGCACTGGGGAGGAAGGCAGGCTCAGCTCTGTGGCAGGGTTGTGGGGATAAGTTAACTGTGGTAGCCAGTTACCAGGTATCAGGTATTTCTAGTACTTCTGTAAACTACCCTGTGAACTGACTTCCTTCCTTTAGGATTGGAGATCTCTTCCACCTGCAAGACACTTTGTCTAAATCTTGTTTCTAGGAAGACAGAAGGAGAGCAGCTCAAGGTGGGACGACAATGGTAGCCTCACCTAGAATCCTGCCCACATGACCTGTCCCGCTCCTGAGAGGCTGCAAAACAAAGCTGGCTTACACCTGGACAGTGTGACAGCTGGACAGAGACTTCCATCAGTATACAACCCTACCCTAACTTCTCTAGGAACTACTGACAGCCGCCAGAAACCAGTTTCTTTTCCTGTCTGCTGCCTCTGGAGAAGATGGGAGAGCGGAAAGCAGCAGGGAAACAGGCTGGCTCAGGCTTGGCCATCACATATCAAGAGGCAGGCTCTTCACCAGGTAAGTGAAGGCACCGGCTTACACAAATGCATACTGTTATCCAGCCAGGGCCTTGCCCAGCAGAGTACAGCTAGCCTTTTCCAGGGTTTCCTGATAAACCTCCAGATCTCACAGTGCTTTTCAGGAGGTGGAGAATGTGAGAGCTGGAAGGCGAAACTGCTGTCCCACCTTGGCAAATTCCTGTTCCAGCGTCCCTCCATCTGGAGGCCACCAACAGACAGGAATTTTCTGCTGTCTGATAGGCAGAACGGAGATGCAAAGATCAGGAGGGCATCATGTCAGGGACCTGGGAGAGCCCCACACAGTGGCCCCAGACTCACCTGCACCATCTGAGAGGCGGCTGCCTGGGTCTCAGCGCCCATTACCTTTGGGTGCTCAGACTCCAAGTGGCCATCAAGCTGGGCCTGGGAAGTAAAGAGCTCCCCACAGAGCTCGCAGGGGAAGGTGCTCTCAGACTGCTTGAAGTGCTCTGTGGTGACATGGTGCTGCAGCGCCCCAGGAAAGCGGAAAGTGGCTGCACAGTACAGGCACCGGAATGGCTGCGACCCTGCAGGAGGCAGAAGACATTGTCTGACTGCGAGGGAATGACGGCTCAGGGCAGGGGAGGGAGGAGCAGCGAGGGTGGGGCAGTAGATGTAGGGCTCATACACCCTCCTTATGAAGCTGCAGATACACAGCAGGCTAGGGCCCTCAGACCACAGTGCCATTTGCAGTGGATTTTGGCTGAGTCATCTCTACTGGTGCCCACTATTTATTCATTAGCAGACAGCCTGACAATGGAACTGCATTGCCTCTAACCCCAGAAGCACCTTTTCCTATGCTGGGAATTGAACTTGTGGCCTTGAAATGCTAGGCAGGAAGCCTACCACCGAGCTTTACTATCTGCCTCAGGAAGTACATCTTGAGACTTCTGAATGGGATGGATGCACCTGACTGTTGCAGTCTAGACTGCAGTCAGGTGCATTATCAACAACCTATATGCACAAACATCAAAGCTAGCAGGACCAGAGCCTGTGGCTTAGGGGAACATCTCTAAACAGGATGGGGCATACTTTTACCTCCAAGGGATTCAGCAGTCTAAGAGGGAGAAGGCTACATTCCAAGACTGGGGACCAAAAGCAGTCTAATTTTATAAAGTGTTCAGGAGACAAAACCAATGGCTTCCTGTTCTTTGATGGAACCCTACAGCTTGTGCCCTGTAATCAATGCTCTGATGGCAAAGTAACACTGGAAAAGGGACCAGTGGTTACTCTGTGATGCTCGTCTTCCCTTAATTTATGTCTTATGTTTTCTTTTTTATGTATGTACCTGAATAAGTGATAAGATAAAAATTGGTATCAATTAAGACTAAATACTTCCGGGTAGTGGCACACCCACTCAGGAAGCAGAGGCAGGCATATCTCTGTAAGTCTGAGGCTAAACTGGTCTACAAAGCTAGCTCCAGAACAGCTATTAACAGAGAGAAACCTTGTCTTGAAAAACAAAAACAACAATAAAAACAAAACAAAAATTAAAAAGAAAAAAAAAAAAAACCACTAACCACTTTGAATAGCCTACAAATTCTAACCATAAAAAAGGCACAGCTTTGTTGGCAGCACTTTTCCTTCTTGATGTTTCTTTAAAAGTGGTTCAATTTATATTGGATGAAACACAGCACCAGTGACGGTCATGGTTCCCACACAAAGCTGCATACCGGGGCCAGGCCTGAAGCTTCCAGGGCTTCAGATGAGGTTGGGACTGATATGCCTGCCATCTTCCAGACAAAATGGAGGCACAAGACCAAAAAAGACTTAGGCTGTGAATGGTGGAGCCAGGACTCACTCCCCACTGCTGAGCTCAGAGACATGCAGAAGAGGAGCCACTGACCTGAATGCTGGCATTTGACGTGAACCTGTAGCAGGGCTGGAGTGGGGAAGAGCTCCTTACACTGGTCACACTCATGGAACTTTAGATCTGTGATTGGGAAAGGAAAGAAGTGGTCAGGACAAAGGACGGCTCGTCTACAGCTGGAGGGGAAGAGGGCTGGGTGGGGCGAGGACCCACATTCTACATAGCATCTGCCAACTGTTAGAAACCTGTGCCTGTAGAGATCTGTGTAACCTATTGGTAGAGAGCACTGATCTGCTCCAGACTATGGATGCAAAGGGGGTTGTGAGAATTAAATGACAAAATATACAAAGTGCTCGGCTGGTGCCCCGCACATAGGAAATGCTCTGTAACTGACAGCTGCTGTGATTAACCCCAAATGTACCTGCAAGGGAGGTATTAATAACTTCCATTCTGAAGGGAAGAAAACAGACTCAGAAAAAAGAGATGTCACCTGCCAAGGTCATGCAGCTGCTATGTGCTAGAGCCAAGACTCCCACCGGGACCCATCTGCCATGAAAGCCGACACCCTTTCCAGGAGCTGGCTGGAGCTTGCACTGCTCTGTGCTAAGGGGCTTGAGAAGTGCTGCCACTTAAACTACAGCTCCTGATGTATGGGTGTGGCCTCCTCTGGTGAGCTAGGGCAGAGCAGAGGCAATCACCACAGTGCCTGGGCAGAGGACACGAGTCCGTCTACCCTCGGCTGCACCAGCGTCACCTGCATGCGCTGCTTTGATGTGCTTCTTGTGTTCGATGGTGTTGGAAAAGGTCTTGTCACAGGAGCTGCACTGTAGTGATGAGAACTTGGGTGACCGATGGTTCTGGGCAGCAAACACATCTGGGTGGTGGATCCGATTGTGATACCACAGGCCAGACAATTGCTGCAAGGCATTTGGCAAATATTAGGTTCTAGACAGTTCCAGCAATGATGGATGTTCTGAGACAAGTTTATGCCCCTGGAGGCTGATGTTAGGGGAGAGGCCGCTACAGGCAGAGCTCAGTGAACCCTTCAGTGAGTCCTCACTCACACAAGCTTAAGTGGGGCTGGAAGGATCTACCTGTGGAGGCAGATTGCCATACAGAAGGGTTAGTTAGGGACTTGCCCAGGGCCACATCAGCAAATAGCCAGACTAGGGTCAAAGCCTGGCCTGATTGGAACATGTACGTGTTTAGTACACTAGGCTGGACCTCAGAGCTGCTGAGGCCTGGGGTGTGTAGACTGGCCTGCTGGAACAAAGCCAGAAGCTGCATCCATCCCTCTCTGGGCCTAGCTCTAAAAGTGCACTGGGGGCATCTCTCCACAAGTCCTTGGGCTCCTAGGGACCACACCCAGTCTTACTCCACATCACAGAGTGTGGCCTGGTACCGCACCAGCCCTCCATATATAAATCAGAGGTTGTTCTGTCTAAAATTTAGTCATAAGCAAGGCCTGTTGTTCTCTACGGCTAGTTTCTGGCAGATATGTTTCCTTTCTGGGCCTCTGTGCCATTTCACTTTAACCACACATTGATCTTCAAAGTAAAACCCAGAGCCCTTCCCTGAGAAGCAAACAGCAGGCAGCTGTTTAAAAGTCAACTAAGTACCATACAAGATTCAGACACTCTGTGTTTCCCATCTTTACGTGGCTTTTCCCCTGTATATTATTTTACTCTCTCTTTAAAGACTATTGTCTTAAACGATTTACTTCTCTATGACTGTACCCATTTTCTTTTCTCTCTTTAGTATCTAAGCACCTTTTTTATGCACCTGTATCTGTTCAGAGGTTTTCTTGGTCTGGACCTGATTTTACTAAATGCCTACAGCTGCACACTTGCAGGGTTCTCTGATGCATGAGCCAAATGAGCCAAACCATAAACTGCTAAGCAGTGGCTAGACTCTCAGCTGCTAATATATGGCCTGGCGGCTAGCTCCACCCACCTTGGGTCAGTGTGAGTGGAGCCTCATGCCTGTGGCCCTGGCCTGAAGTCAGTCATTATCCCAATTTTTTCAAGAGTTTCCTAAAGATACTGTCGCTCCTCCCAGACACCAGGAAGCAATCTAGAGAATAGGATGGCTACATCCCAAGAGGTGGGGTGGGTAGTTTTTGGTCATTCTATGGGTCATGGATATTTGTCATCGTTTAGAGGGGTTGGTTACAAGTTCTTATTGGTCATGGCCAGGAAAAAAAAAAATGAACAAAGGAGATTAGAATCAGAGATCTCTATCTGATGGGAAAAAAGGATGTATAATATAAGAATTATGGGATAAAATTATTGACTTTGGAGTCTACTTTTGAACAACCACTACTCTCAAATATTTTACATTGGTATGAATTTTTGTATATTGATATGAATTTAAGGTTATTTTTGTTATGCTGTGCATAAGTTTCTACTCTTGCTTAAGGTACTGTACCTATGCAGCTAATTTAAAGTGTAAAGTTTTAGTCCTTGAAAGCTATTTAGGATAATAAAGAAGGCTGAGTTAGTAGTTAGTCATCTATAACAAGCAAACTTATAGTCATGTTAGGTATGTTTTCAATGTCATACAAAGATATATTTTAGATAGACAGGAGGTCTTCAAACACTTCAAAGACTGACAGAATATGGCATTTAAAGTGTTTTAATAACATAAGGCTTTTCATGACAGTGAGACACATCTATTCTTGGAAGCACCAATTTACTTCAAAAAAGGATGATGGGCATCAAAGACTCTCCATACAGAGTTAGATTTCTTTGTGGCAAGGTTAGCTACTGGGTAAATAAACTACCCTTGCCTCAACTGCTGACAAAATGCTGTCCAAATTGAACAAGCAGAACACAAAAGAAAGTGACTCCTGAACTTTGCCAAGACAAGATAGGATAGTCCTTTAAAATTCCTGCTTCATAGAAGTCTGTATGCTGGGCCTATAGGCTAAAGATGGATGCCACAACATTGCAGAGGAAACTTGGAGGACTGTCCAGGCAGCCAGCTGTCTCTGTCATTTATATAATTTTGGAAGTTGTTTGCCCTATATTTCCTGTTTACTCAGGTAATATTATATCCTTCTCCAGTCTCTAATGGAGTTGAAGACAAGATAATTTTTTTGTTTTTCTTGTTTTTGTTTTTCTTGTTATCAAATTCAAAATAGAAACTTACACAAGAGATGTAAAGTTTATAAGGTTGAGAAATATAAAAGCTTAAATTGTTTATCTAAGAAAAGGTTTTTAGGTCTAAAAGGAGAGTTTAAAGGATGATAATAAAGTCATGATAAAAAAAAGTGGTTTAGGTATAAAACTTTAAATTCATCAAGATAAGATAGATAATAGAGAATATTTTCTCCAAATATGCCAAATATAAATGAACTGGACATTGTGAGTATAATTATTACCCATATTATATTCTTATTATATATGTTTAATTGTATATAATTCTTACTGTACATAGTTTTACTGTGTTAGAGTTAAAACTTTTCCTTTTGTTTAGACAAAAAGGGGATAGTTGTACATGGTGTGAAGATACATTGTTGTGATTGGTTTAATAAAGAGCTGAATGGTCAATAGTTAGTCAGGAGGTATAGGCATGACTTCTGGGCAGAGAAAGGAAGTAGGAGGAGATAACTGAAGCATGCAGAGACACCAAGGGAGCAAATCAGACATACAAGACAGAGGAAAGGTAACCAAGCCACATGATAGAATATAGAGTACTAGAAAGAGGTTAATTAAGTTTTAAGAACTAGTTAGGAAAAAGCCTAAGCTAAGGCCTAGTTTTCGACATTAATAATAAATCTCTATGTCATTATTTGTGAGCTGGCAGACCAAAAAACACCTGACTAAAGTCTGCTGGGGATATAACCCAGGGCCTCATGGATGATAAGTGTATGCTCACTGAGTATACTCCAGGCCATGCCTTTTCAAAGTCAAATGGTCTGTCACATCTTGGAAACAAACTTGGACAACATGCAAGAAACAAACACCAATGGGGAGTAAGGCAGTGATGGGGGCATGCACCTGATAAGCCTTGTTGCAGATCCCACAGCTAAAGGGCTTCCCTCCAACATGGGTCACCATGTGCCGCTCCAGCATGGAAGGGGCACTGAAGATCTTCCCACATGTGGGACAGGGATGGTATTCTTTGGAGTGCACCTTGTGGATATGCTTCCGGTGATCCTGCAGTGTAGGGAAGCTCATCTTGCATTTCTTGCAGTCATAAGGATCTTCGATGTCTGCTTCCAGGCAGGGCATCCATGGGGGGGGGGCAGAGGGAGACAATAGCACAAGCAGCAGTCAGTGATATGCCACTGCTTCACACAGCAAGATGAAAGGATGCTCAGACTTCCTGTGGGGCCAGAGTCCAAGGACGCTAAGTCAGTGTGACAACAATCTGGCTCTACTTCCTTTCCCCAAGAGGCAGGAGCCCTCCAAGCCTTTGGACTCACCACCTATTTGTGCAGAGTCAAACTGCTCACCTCTACCACTTGCTTCCCGTCTTACATGTCAGACTCCCTCCAACATGAGTCTACTTACAGGGAGTATCATGCTTGTTCTCCCTGTTCACAGTGACAGGTCTGTCTTCCACTTCCCATCATACCCTCTAGAGTGTCACTGTGTCTCCTGCCAGGGGCAGTAAGGGGACAATTTTTTGGTCTCCAGTTAAGATCCAACAAGAAAGCCTTTGCACTGGGCAGGTGTGTTCAGAAGAGGAGATGATGGGAGATGTCATTCTGTATATGTTTCTCATACTGGTTAATGAATAAAGCCAATAGGAAAGCTAGATAGGAGGGACTAGGAGACAAGGAGGAAATAGGAAGTAGTAAGGAGAGTCAAGATCCATCTAGTCTGGAGAGACTAGAACCACCAGCCGCCTCTGGCTGGTAAGACCAAGTGGAAATACATAGAAATGGTTTAATAATTAACACGGAGCTAGCCGATAAGAAACTAGTAATGGGCCAACAGATTATATCAAATACAGAGTCTCGGTGTGCTTATTTGGGGCTGGCGCGGTGGCGGGACCAGACCAGGCAGCGGGAGGAAAAACCGAACTCTTTACAGAGGAGGGTCTAGTGTGAGTCTTACCTTAAGATTAGGAATATCAAGGTTTAGAGATCAACCATACCTTTTTCAAGGATCTAACTAGGAAGAGGTCTTATCTATACATCCATGGACATGCCAACTCCTCAGTGGGACTTCAAAATAGGAACTACTGCTGATGGACACCTTTGCCATCTAGATGACAGAGGACATCAATCTTTTTCTTAAAGCAACTGAAAGCAAAATATTTTGGTAATAAAATCCTCTGTCCACAAGAACGGTCCAAGTCATAGCTTCACCTGCATATAGAGTGACTCTGCTTTACTCAGCAATCCTGCCCAGAGAAACCTTCAGAATCTCTGGCTAGCTTCCCCATGGAATTGCCAGGTTTACACTGTCTTTTAAGGTACTCTGGCAGTTTCTATGAGCAACACTGCGGTCAGGCAAAAGTGGGGCCTGAACATTGGGTTTGTGTGAATGGTGCTCTCTAGGGTATGCCAGTGGGCTCTAGGGTATCAAAGATTAAGTTTGAAGATTAAGTGTTACTCTTTCCTGATCCTTCTACCCATCCTCACTTCTTCCTACATAATTTGCTTCTGCTAGTCAAACACTGTGATGGGAGCTAAAGAGACAAGGAGACAGGCTGGACAGAGAAGCAGGAAGCACACAGAGATATGCTAAGGAGGGACTCAAAGATTGCGGGTTTCACAACCTTGTGAGTGAGGAGAAGGCCCAGAATGAAGCCCAGCTCTGGCACAGTGACATCTTCGTTATGTCATAGGTCTCCTGAGTGTCAAGCATGGCCTGTGGTGCCTGACACTGCAATCGCAGTATGTACGTACTGTGAAAGGTGTGCAGGTGGATGGAGAGGCCATTGGCTTGCCGAAAGCCCTTTCCACAGTCCCTGCAGACATACGGCTTGTCCCCAGTGTGGGTCCTCACATGCCGGGACAGCTCGATGGATTGGGCGAACACAGCATCACAGTATTGGCATGCGTACATTTTCCCTGCAAATGCATGTGAGCGTGTGAGAACAAGCAGTACTGAACACGGACGGCACTCCTGCAAACAGAACCAACTCTAAAGCACACACCAGAGAAATGTCACTGGCAGGTGACATTACCTCGGGCAATGCTGGGTAAGTCTGAGGCACCTCATCAAACGCAGGTGCCTTGCAATCATAACCCATCACACAATGGGTGAGCACAACTGGATGGGGAACAAAGCTCTTGTCTCTAAGAGAACCCGTTTATTTATCAGGTTTCTGCAGAGAGAAAGAGCCCACTCCACTTCCAGCCAGAGATAGGTCCTTCTGTCCAGAAACGTGAGTTAGATCTTGTAAAACACAGTGTGATCTTGCAAAACACAGCCAAGACTACGGGAGACCTGTCTCACAACTAAATCTAACATGGATTCCCACTACTACAAAGGTGAGCTAGGGATTCAGAGGGGACAAGGCCTTCTAGTGACCCACTGCAGTCAGCCCACAGCCCTTGAATCCTTCACTTTCCCATGTGCATGAGAACGTGAGTTAAAAAAATAAGTGATGAGCAAGACTGGAGACCTGGCATCTGACACCAGGATCCCAGCTCCTCCCAGGCCAGGAAGCAGCCACTGGGGAGCAGGGTTGCAGATCAGCAAGCCCAGTGCTAGGCCCCCTTCAGCTAGAGCAGCAGCCCTGTTCCCATTTTTTTACTGACCAGGCTTTGAGTAAGATTTTGTACAAGTATGCACACGCATACAAACACATATGCACAGTGTAAACCCCGGCCTATCATCACTCTCATCCAAACTCTTTGGTGGCTTCTTATAGTCAGTGCTGTGACCGAGTCAAGTATCTTGCGATGAGAGACTGTACTATTCTATTGAGATGACCTAGGGGAATCCCAGATAAGAGGGAGGACGTAGAGTCCAAGGAGGAGGCCTACAGTAGGTGCAGAGGCTGGGGTGATGTGGCCCAGAGCCAAGGAAGCATCTAGAAGCTTCTCGGTGATAAACTGAGTCTCCTGATGAAACCATCCCAGATGAAACCTTGGTTTTAGCATTCAGGACCCTTTTAAAAATAACTACTTACTCCCTGCTGGTAATAACACATGTTATTTCAAGCTATTAGTTTTATTAATTCATGAAAACAGAAAACTGAAGTCCTTTCCTTGGCTAGTAGAAAACCCTGCAAATCTTGGCCTTTGACAGCCCATCTCTGAACACTGCCTCTTAATGTAGTCCCCTCATGATTCTGCATCCAGCTCTCTGTGGTCCATCTGAAGCTCATTTGCACTAAGGATGTCCCTCTGGCTGGATTGCGTATCCCTCTGAGTCCATCACTGATGGTGTGAACAGCACACACCAGCTCTGTCCTTCTCCGTTGCTCCCAGCCTTAGTTTCCACATGGCAATGATGGCCCTTTCCATTTCTGTCCCACATGTGTATAGCCCTAGCTGTCCTTGAACTCAGGGATCCACTTGCCTCTGCTTCTGGGATTAAAGGCAAGGGCCACCATGGGCCTGGCAAGCAAGTGTTTCCTGAGGGTCTTTTGTTGCCATGTACTGTTCTAAGTTCTCTGGGAAGACTAGCAACTCTGTCATCACAGAGCCTTGCGCTCTAACGCATAACGAATTATGATGCAGATGCCCTTCACAGGGGAAGCATGAGGAGAAATTATAAAACAAAAGAACCGGTTGAGAGCAGTTTTCACAAAAGAGGCCAAAGAACCATCACAAGAAGGTGTACCTGGGAAGGAAGAGGAGCAGAACCCTCTGAAGGGAAGGGCCCCGAGATAGGAAACGAGCACAGAAGGCCTGGACAAAAGTGCCTGATGGGCCTGAGGCCTGGCAAGGAAACTAGTGCGTGCAGCAGGGTGTGGGTGAACAAGCGTGATGAGCACAGAGGTCAGAGTGGTGCCGGGCACGATCATGGTCAGCCCAGCAGGCTCTCAGGACTCAGACTCCCACTGCAGATGAAAAGCCACTGCACTGCTGAGCAAAGAAGCGGCCTGCTACGGTCTAGTTTCAAAAGAAAAGAGGGTGCTGGAGACATGGCTCAGCGGTTCACAGCATTGGCTACTCTTCCAGAGGACTCAGGTTCAATTCCCAGCACCCACATGGCAGCTCACAACTGTCTGTAATTCTAGTCCCAGGGGATCTGACACCCTTACACAGACATATATGTAGACAGAACACCAATTTACATAGAAATAAGTAAATTGGTTTTTTTTTTTAAAAGGGTAGAGGGAATGCTTAGACAAAGATGCTTTGAGGCCATGGAAACCAGCCAGATAAGGTGATGGAGGCATGGCTACTCACACCTAGGAGCTCTGAGTCCTTCCCTGACCAGTCACTGGACTGGTCCCACCATGGTCTCCTCCACCATCCTAGGATGCTTCCTAGTGATGTACTGATAGGGTTCCACCCATCTCTACCCCTCCCCAACCCTTAGGTCAGCAGGTTCAAGAGCACAGAATTCCAGAATAGTCACCTTGCACTTAGCACAGCCAAGCCACAGAAGCATTCCATCACTTCTCTCTCTTGCTCCAAGGCTATTGTGAGTGCCAACAATGCCAGGATGCATGTTAATTTCTGCTCTAGCCCACTCTTCTGAAGTCCTCCTGGGGAGCATTCTACAGCCCATGCATATGGGGTTACTTATGCTTTACTTTTCCAACTACTGTGCCTGCCTACGGCCAAATGGGGTTTAGCTCCCCGAGTGGCACTGTGCAGGAAAAAGAAGGGTGCCCCTCACCTTCCGAGTGCTTCTTCTTGGTGTGGTAAGCCAGGGCAGAAGCCTGTGTGAAGGTCATGAGGCAGTGTTTGCACATGAATGGGCGGTCCCCGGTGTGAAGGCGCAGGTGGTTCTTTAGAGTAGAGTTGGCTGCGAACTTTGCCCCACATTCTTCACAGGAGAAAGGTTTCTCATCGAAGTGCTCGGTCAGCTTGTGGTACTGCATGCCTAGGTAGGAGTACCAGGCCCCCAGGAGAAACCATCCGTCAGTCAGGAACACAGCAGGAGGATGTTCAAACAAGCTGCATTTACCAAGCTCATGCCTGACCACAGGCCAGGCCACACTGGCTTCAGCACTGCCTGTCTTACAGCTCACTGGTTCACTCCCTGCTTCCCAGTCAGCTTAGCCTCACTCCCAGTTGAATCCAGTATAGACATTCTTAGCCGATCTTCTCCATTCACTCCTCTCATTTCATGTTTCATTGGGTTTACCTTACACCTGAGGCAAGGCAAACTGATTCTGACTTAATACCTTAGGGTTTCCATATCGATAAATTTCTTACCAGTAAGTAAATGGGATGTGGGCATCAACAAGCTAGACGTCAAACATCTACCCACAATTATAATCTGCGGGGTGTGGGTGTGGTGCTAGGTGTTTAGTTCTTCTTCTATCTACAAATCCCCTAACAATGCAGAATGGTGGGGTGCAGGACCGCCCTCATAGTTGGGAGAGCAATGCTCAGGGAGCCCATTGCTGAGCCTATACTCTTCTCAGAACAGCATCGAGCTTCTACGAACCTATCCTAGTGCCGAAGCCATCCACTCATGGTACAACCAGGGGGCCAGGCTGGAGCCCAAGCTACAACATCTGCAGCCACTGTCCTCTGTGACTGCCTTCTGACCTACCTGAGGCATGGGCAAACTCTCTACCGCAGAGGTCGCACGCCACTGGCAGCCGCTTCTTCTTCTTCTTGGGGGCGTCGGGCTCTCCGCCTGTGCTGTGGGTCTCCGGCTCCTTCTCCAAGTCCTTGGTCTCACCGCTGTCCTTGCACTGCACCTGTTTGCTCTTGGCCACCCGGCAGCGCTTCATGTGCACCTTCAGACGACAGTAGAAATGGAAGCTCTTGTCACAGGCTTTGCAGATGAAGCTCTTCTTGGCAGAGTCCGGGGAGGCAGAAGCGTCTTTCTCTCGTTGCTCTGGCACGGACCCAGGTTCCCCCTGATCCTTTTGTTCCACAGGCTGGCAGTCTTCTCTGGCTGCGTTGGCTGCCTTCTCCTCTTTGTCCTTGGCTCCAGGGTGAAACCTATCACTCACCGTCAACCTCTCCTCTCCATTTTCCTTGGTAAGAAACCCTGCACGGGAGAACACTCGTGGCTCTAGGGCTCGGCTTCTATTATGTTTTGCAACTTTTCTAACGCACGCTTAGACGTGACTGGATTATCTGGGTCCTCAGGAAACTTAGAAGTAATATTGCTGTCATCTTTACTTCCCACTAAACACAAATAGCACCATGTCACACCTGCGCTCCTGGCTGTTAGGTACCAAGAGCACATAAAAGGAGACATATCTTGAAACAGGACATCCTCTCACATCAACCACTGTTTCTTATACTCAATATAGAAAGTGCCCTGGGGTCTAGCAGGCCCCAACCCCTGTTCCTTACCAATATGTGTCAACTCCTGTATAAGGGGTTGCAGGCCTGGGAAAGACTTGTGGACATCACACAGGAGGTGACAGATTGCAGTGGCCGAGACAGATTTTTCCGTGGCCCTGCTTAGCACTGCTCTCAGAGCTGCTTCAGGGCTCAATGTCTCGGAGGGTATGCTCAGCATCTAAATGAAAACAAGAGACAGAGCAGTGTTAACATCAGATTTTCTTCACGCTCTTCAATGGGGGTAGGGGGTTGAATTCTAGAAGACACAGAGCTTTCTAGGTGGCTTACAATTCTCTGTGAGAGAAATGAACTTCTTAGCACCTGGCACCTCTCAAGGAGCTCTAAGCAAGCCTGGGCGGCAGAGCAGGATATAAAATTATAAAACTAAGTAAGCATGGGAAGCCTGGGAGGGGGGGCGAGCAGGGTGTAAGATTATAGAACTAAGCAGGGCAGGATATAGGATTCTAGAAGTGAGCATGGGAAGCCTGGGCGTGGGGGGTGAGGGGTAAGGGGTGAGGAGTAATAAGATTCTAGAAGCATGGGAAGCCTGGTGGGCAAGGTTCAGGATTCTAGATCTGCGTGCATGCATGCATGCGTGTGTGTCTATAGCATTTAGCAGCGGCTGCTTCTATAGAGAACAGGATAATTTTTCATAATATATAATTGTCTCCATGTCTAGAAGTAATTCTGCATAGAGAGTGGCTTCATATTTTTAGACACTTAGATGTACCCTTTTAAATATCATTTTTCTTTCATAAGAAACGGCGTTTTAAAGCAGGTTCAAATAGAGGCTTTAAAGAGGCCAGGAATATGATTTCAAAGCTGTCCTCTTTCAGAATGTTAGCACTGTGGGCAGAGTCAGCACACTGAGAAAATAAAGTGAGACCATCCACAGATGGCCATGTGGAACTTTCATTTCAGAAGGTATTTTATTTCTGCTTTTTTTCAGGTCTATCTAAATAACCCTGATGCCCCTGGAGGCAGGCAGGAGACTAATTAGTGAGGCTAAAGCGATCAACGGCAGAGGCCCCAGCTCTGAAGTGCACAACTCTCTGGAGAGAGATGGGCAGATGAGCCTTACCTCTGGAGCTCTGCAGGGGCATGTGCCGCCTTCTTCCTGTCTGAGAGGCAGCCTGAGGTGGGGCTGCTGCCAGTGGAGATGGTTAGAAACCTGCCCTTTTGTCTATGTGGATCAAAAGGACGTTCCAGGTACATCTGTGGTTTAATTTTATGTTCCTTTACTATCCTTCCCTGTTGGAGATGTACATACCCAGATCTGAACATCTCTTCTGAGTCTTCCTCAGCCCCCATCTAGACTTTCTGGGATGCCGGTCACATTGTGAGAGGCCTCGAAGAAAATGAGCTGGCACTATTTGCTGCCCCATATGGGCAAAGCTTAGTTCTATCTATGTTTATCTTGGCTCCTTCGAGAAGCCAGAAGAAAACATGCAATAAGACCAACTTCCTTCATCTGAGACCAGCTGCTTCTGAGAACATGATAGAGAAAGAGTCATCATTTCTCCAGCTGAGGCAATTGGAAGGTATGTTCGCTGGGCTTGTGTCACTGGCTTAAATTCTGGCTTCACTGCCTTCTCACCAGTGCCTGAGACCAGAAACGCGAACCACTCCCTCACCAGCTTCCTAGACTGGAAACAACTGTGGAAGCCTGCACTCTCCTATACGCAGTAGGTATACTGTAGAGAATGACGATGGCTCCAGCCATCTACCCTGCATAGTTCTAGAGAATTCGGTGACCCACCAGCCTTTACCCACTCCTCCACTCCCCACCTCTCTGATCATCTCAGCCAGGTGCTCATCCTCCGAAGAGAGGTGCCTGAGCTCTAGCATCTGCTGCATGGCCTCTGTGACCAGCTTGCTATGCCTCAGGATTGCTTCCAACACAGTGCTCTCTGGGGCAGTCACTGAAAGAAAGAGAGACCAGAAACTCAGCCAACCACGGGTGTCATTTTCTCCTTCACGTCTCCACTCCATTCTTCACAAAGACAACTTGTGTCATCTGTTGCTTCATTTGGACTAGGAGTGAGGAGGACAGCTAACCACTGTAGTCAGAACATAATAATGAATAAGGGCTTGTCAGTACCCACATCCCCAAACACAAATGTTCTTGTATTTCCTTTGACACAAAAGCCTTTGTGTGTTTTTACCACCCGATGTTTCCATGCATGTGGATGCTGTGGCCCTGTTTGAATCAGGACTCACTATCTAGCTCCTCAAACACCACTTTTTTGAACACACTCAAAACCCTTACTTCTTGCTTTCCTCAAGCACACAGCACCTTGGTCACCTACGGTCACCCCATTGTGCAGGAGAACTCAGAAACTTACTTGCCATTGCTTCTGAGGGGTGGGACACAGATGGCAACTGTAAGAGAGTCCTCTTATTTCCTGGGGGTCAAGAGTTGTCTCTACTGGGCCAATACCAAGGCAGAGCACAGACAACTCACCTGCCCGGAAGAAAGTCCCAGTGCCAGGTTCCTTTCCTATTTCCTCCAAGAGCAGATTCAGTGGGCAGGTCTGGGTCTCTTGAGCTGCTAGCAGCAGCTGCCAGATGGCTGTTGCAGGGAGAGTCTGCCTCTCCAGAGCTGCTGACATGAGGGAACTGAAGCCAGCTGAGCCAGGGGCCTGTTTCACGAGTGTCTCCATAACCTTCAAGATGCAACATAAACATGGGTGTAAGAGACTGGTCCTGAGCTGGGGCAAAACATTTAAGTCTCAGTACTGGGTCCAGGTGAATGTGCTGTGGAGGGGGAGGTCTTTTCAATATTCACCTCTCTTAACCTGGGACACTTTTAAAATCAAATTTACTTTGTATGTAAGGGGGTGGGGTATGGAGTCAGGGACACAGCCTAGTAGTAGAGAACTTATTTAACATACACGATGCCCTGGGTATGGCTTCTAACACACACACACACACACACACACACACACACACACACACACACACACACCACACACACACACTAATCTTAGCTGAAAGTCTCTGTTTCTCTGTCTCTCTCTCTCCCCGTGTGTGTGTGTGTGTGTGTGTGTTTTGGTTGGCTGGCCTTGAACCCATAATCCTCTTCTACTAAACCTGGCTACTACTGACAGAGTTCCTATCTATGATGAAGTTCTTCATTTTTTCTCATGAATGCTTCTCTTGATTACTGTAGAACTATGCAGTACAAAATACTTACAAAATATAACTATTTAGGCCAGTGAAGTGACCGAGGGAGTAATGACGCTGGTCACCAACTCTAATGGCCTCGGTTTGATCTCTAGACCTCTCCTGATAGGAGAGAACCGACTCCCACAAGTTGTCCACTCTACAAACTAAACAAACAAAACTTAAAAAAAAAAAAAAAAAAAGAAAAAAGAAAAAAAAGAAACTGCAACTACTCTATTTGGCATTTACCCTAAGAAAATGAGTCACCTTCCAGTTCTCCTTCTTGGCATTTCTCAACATAGCGGTGTATATGTATTTATAGAAAATGTAAATGTGTGTGTACATAGCCATGTCTTCCCTCCCTCCTGCTCACCTCTCTGTCTCCAGGGGCTAAGTTCTTCACACGTGAGATTGCCTCTAGCAGCACCTGGTTGTCTGTGAGGACCTCAGACAGGTTTTCCTGGAACTTTCTCAACAGCTCAGCGCCATAGTCCTCAGGGCTAGGGTGGGCTGTAGGGAGGGACAGCAGCACAATGAGACCTGATGCACCGGAAGCAGCCAAAGGCTTCCACAGACGCGCCAGAGAGAATAGCAGCAGGAGCACTGCTTCTGCTGCAGCGTGGAGGCCCATGGCTCGCCCCAGGCTGCGCACATAGCATTCAGGGCTCCTCTGGTCTACACACAATCTGTGCTTCAGGGTTGCTGAAACAGACCAGTGCCTGGTAGGAGCCAGGGACTGCCCAGCAGGCAGGTAATGAGGAGGCTGCACTCAGGAGAGGCTCTGAGTACAGATTCAGGGGGTCTTCCTTACAATGCCCAGGGTAAAGGATCCATGTGGTGATCCCAAACACCATTAGCCACCAGTACAGACTGTGCCTGGGAGGAGGAGTGCCCTTCTGTTTAGATGCCTCCTGAGCCCATCTGTTAGCTACTTCTTAAGCAGTATTTCCTTAAAGCTAAAGACAACACAAGCAATCTGCAATCTGCACAAAACCAAATCCTTTAGTTTATACATAGTTATGTTTTTATTTTCCTCTTTGACCCAGTAAATTACTTCTGGAAACTAAGCAAAAACAAAAAACAAAACAAAAAAAAACAAACAAACAAAAAAAAAACAAACAAACAAACAAAAAAAAACCTGAAGGCAAAGAACCATTGCCATTGTAGAGCCACGGTGATGAGACTGACAGTCCTAAATATTTGCTGAGAGCCTACTATGTGCCAGGTACTTCACTAAATGTTTAAATGATGTCATTTTGATGGGGTACAATTCTTACACCTGTTCCAGGGACAATGAGGTTCATAAAGTGAAGCTGCCTTCAGGTCAAACAGCCACAAAAGGCATCATGTTTCCAGGCTCGTGTAACATACCATGCATAGCTATGTGACAGAAAAGTATACAACCATCAAAAGAGATTGGAATTTCTAGAGATGCAAGAGGATTCTTTGAAACTGTTAAACAAGCGATCATACAACTAAAAGATAAGGTAATCTATGAATTCGAGCACACATTTCAGCAGCAGCACTGAAGGACTGGGGGAGTAAAACAACAGCTTATTTTCTTTTTCATTTTTGGGAAATGCCCCGCTGTGTGTGTGTGTGTGTGTGTGTGTGTGTGTGTGTGTGTGTGTTTGGGAAATGCCCCGCTGTGTGTGTGTGTGTGTGTGCGTGCATGTATGTGTATTACTATAAGCTGGAGAAAAGTCCTGTTTCCCAGAAAGCCATCTTGGTCCTATATGCTCTGGGATAGGCAAAGTAATTCCATCTGACTATGAACAGAAACAGGCTCCTTCCTCCAAGCTGAGGGACACAAAGGGAGCTACCTAGGGACTGTGGCACACAGCCAGGAAGGGGCCAATCAGGATTAAATTTGCCACTCACGTCCATCCACAGAGTCTGTTGGAATGCACAGTCTCCTGGATCCCTCTGTCTGTTCAGTTTCACAGGTGATCCTGGCCAGCCCTGTGGGAGGAGGGTCCATATATAAGCCAGAACCACAGAGACCCTAGGAGGGAGCTTGATGGAGAAGAGTCTCAGATCCCAACTGATCTGACAGAGAGCTTGCTTTGCAATGCAATGGCATTCCTTGACACAGCTCCTCTTCCTGGCATGGGCCAGAATGGAGCTGTGAGCTGTGATTTTCTGACAAGCAGCTCCTATCTAGAGACTGAGCAATTAACTAGTACCTGTGGTGCCAGGTGACTCTGCTCCTTTCTGCAAATTCTCCAGCAGGAGGCCCAGGTTTGGGAACGCTGTCCTCATAGCCTGGAGGAGCTTTACCAGGCTCTCGGCAGGCAGGGTCTTCTCTTCAGCCATTCTGTATAACAAACTCTCTATCGTCTCTTTGGGTGTTCTGCCCTCACAGCAGTTCAGAATCACCTGCAGGGGCATGCAATCAAGCAGACACTGTTACTGCGATTCAAAATGGATCTAACACTGCTGGGAAGCCAGCAAGAGAGCCTTACCAGATGCCCATCTCCAAGCCCTCCACAGTTGGTCTCTAGAACTACTTTTTATCATAGTCTGTTCCTTTTTCTGTTTTGTTTTGCTTTTTTAAAATTTCAAACATTCTCCAAATAAATAGCTCTATGAAACATGCCCAGCAGCAAGCCCACGTATAACCTTTGCTTCCAGAAGCTTGCATGGTTTGAAAACCTTTTTTTACAAATAGGTCTGGTTTGCTATTGTTATATAGCCCAGGTTGGCCTTGAACTCATGGCAATCCCCCTGCTTCAGCCTCTCAACTGTTAAAGGTACAGGTATGCATCAGCACAGCCAGATGAAAGCCCCTCATGCCTGGCAGGTGTGATCCAGGAAATAGTGCACAACTGACCAGCTCTTTGGGTCCTGTCTGCTAGAGACACCGAGACTGAGAAGTGAAAAACGGGCCAGCAATTAACACCGTTAAAAGGATTTTCTATCTTTGTTTCATATGCAATTCTGTTTATTTCCTTCCTGATGGGAGATGTCATTCTGTAAATATGTTTCTCATACTGGTTAATGAATAAAGTACTGTTGGCCAATAGGAAAGGAAGATAGGAGGGACTAGGAGACAAGGAGGAAAGAGGAAGTAGGAAGGAGGAGTCAACATGGAGAGACTGGGGAGACCAGACGCCTACCCCATTCCCCTGTAGGTGAAACCACGTGGAAACACATAGAAATGGGTTAATACTTAAGACAGAGCTAGCCAATAAGAAACAAGTAACTGGCCAACAGCATTATATCAAATACAGAGTCTCTGTGTATTATTTGGGGCTGGCGCAGTGTCGGGACAAGACCAGCGGCAGGCAGAAAAACCTTACTCCTTACAACTTCCATTTTATTTGAATACTGGCTACAAAACAATAAAGTGTTCTTTCAGACTATTTTTCTCATAAAAGCTTTTGTTTGTAGAGACCAGATCTTGCTATGGCTGCCCTGGTATTCACTCTGCAACACAATTTTGGCCTCAAACTCAGGGAAATCCCTCTGCTTCAGCCTCCTGAATACTGAGGTTACAATATGTGCCCCTAGGCTTTGTGGGTTTGTTTGTTTTGTTGTGAATTCTTCTCTGGGTGTATAAACACCCGCACCCCCCCCCCCCATGCTCTGTATACAAAGGTCAGAGGAAGACACTGGGTGTCCTGTCCTGTTCTATTAATGTCTATCTTGGCCCCTTGAGACAGGATCTTTCACTGAGCCCAGATCCTGGCCTGCCAGCCCCAGTGATGCTCTGCCCCTCCCCCAGCTCTGGGGCTACAGGCACACATGTTGACTCTGCCTATTTAGGACATGTGTGCTGGGACCCACACTCAGGTGCTCACGCTCATGCAGCTGTCTTACCCACCAACCAATCTCCCCAGCCTCTCAGTGACTGCATGTTTCAGCTGCACTCACAACTCAACAGTCCCACTCCTCTTAATCTTTTGTGGTTTATCAATGGATTTTTCTGAGCAAAAAGGACACAGGGCTCTAGGAAATATGCTGCACAATTAAACATGTGACAGACATTTTCCTATTGCTATAGAACTATTTCTCTCCCCCACCCCCATTTCTCTCCCTTTCCTTCTGAGGCAGGGTTTCTGTGTAACAATCCTGGCTGTCCTAAAACTTGTAGACCAGGCTGACCTCAAACTCACAGAGATCCACCTGCCTCTGCCTCCCGAGTGCTAGATTAAAGGTGTGTGCTACCACTCCCTGGCATAGAATTAATCTTCTGTTTTTGGTTGTGAGCCTAGCCTTTGATGGCTGAGCCATCCCTCCAGCCCTAGAACTATTTCTCAGTTGACCGTGGTGCAGTGTGCATACCATGGCTCTCACAGAACCAAGACAGCAAGGGATTATTTCAGTGTACTTGGTCCATGGATCCATAGCAACTGAGCTGTGAGCCTTCCTTTGGGGAATGCCTGCTCTCAGGAGACAGTTAAGCAGATCAGTCACAGAAGCATGCCAGCAGCTGCCATTATCAAATTAGCTCCGTTATAAAATAACGAACTGAGCTTTAAAACCAAATTGTCTTTCTACATGTGAAGGGAAGATATATAAAATAATCAAGTTGTCATATTCCTTGTTAGTCATTTTTCTTTGGATAGGGTCTAATATATGGCAGATACTAAGTGAATCATAATTTAAAATTTAAGAGTTTGTATTTAAATCCTGTAGTGACTTTAGCACCCACCCTTCACTCTTAAGCATCCTTCTGATGCCCAGTGAAGCAGCTCAGGGATGGCTCTTAAGGCCAGACTGACCCAATTTGTACCCACTTCTAGCTATTCATGCCGTGTGACTTTGGGCAAATTACACGTTTCTTGGAAGCTCGTTTTCCCCACTTGCAAATGAAGATAACTGTACCAACTCCCCGCACTGTCCTTCTGAGGAGCCTGTGAGATGAGGCTGCTGCTTACAGAGCCCAGTGTGACTGTTAAGGACACACGTGCTCCTTCAGAAGCATGCTGCCATTAGCCACAGGCCTTCTGCAGTGGTGCAGATGCTCTCAGTGAGCTCAGGCTTAGCAGAGCCCAGCAGAGCCTCAGCCTCCCCAAGCTCCCAGTTCTTATTAGCATGGTCCCTGTCCAGGAAGTTACAGAGCTGCTGGGGAGGAAAAGTCAGGACAACACAGGTACATCGCTTAACAGGCCATAAGCGGCAAACAAATGGCAACTATAGTTATTGCTATGCTTACGCCCTAAAGTAAGAAATTCTTCCTTCTCATTTTTTACAGAAAGAACTCAAGGCTTTTACAGAGAAAGCATGAAAAACATAATTTCATAAAAGAAGTTCTGAAAGGCCTGGTGATTGTTCCCCATGGTGCCAAGACACTGTGGCCATGGACTCAACATTCACCTCTACAAGTTGGCTTGGCTGGGCTGCTGAGTCTTCTAGCAACTGCTGCTGTGGCTGTATGACCCCTGCTTAAGAAGAGTTGCTGTGATTTGCAACTAATTTAAACTCTGCTCCAGCCTTTTCTGTCAAGTAAATTGAAAGTGACAGTGTGGTCTATCCTGCAACAGAGCTTAGGGCTGGGGCTGGTTCTACCTCTAAGTGCTGTTTTACAAGATAATGGAACAGCTCAAAGTCCACTTTCAGCCTACCTTGTCAGGAAAGGGCTGGGAGGAATAATTGAATGAAATCTCTCAACAGGGAATCAGAGGCTTCTGGTGCAATAAGCAACTTACTGAAATCAAGTGCTTAAGATTCCGCCTAATCTGAAAGCTCAGGAACAAAACATATTCCCCACCATATTAGCATTGCCTCTGAATTTTACAGAACTTTAAAACATCATCAATTTCCAAACTACATTTCTGAGATTAGAAGCTTCTTCCCCTGTCTGTCTGCCAGGACATTCAATCTAAGATACCTCAGGCAGCCTGAATCCAGGACCCAGCCCACTATGCACCCAGTGCTATCACACCAATGGTTTGGAAACATCTCTTCTGGGCATCTAAGTCACTCTCAGTTTTAAGAAGTAATGCCACGAAAGTTCTCTCTCCCACCCCTCCTTCTAGACAGACATATTTTTAGCACAAAGTTGAAATCGATAACACCAACAAATACAGTTATCTAGTTGCCCTAAGAAGTCATGCCAGCAGTTTTATGAGGGTTTTAGCAGCTAGCTGTTGGGAGAATAAACCGGTGTGACCTTCCTGAAGGGCAATTTGACAATGTCCACAAAGACTTTTACACTCTATTCTACAATTCCATTTAAAAATTACTCCCAGGAAATAATATCAAGAAGTCTGCAGAGCTTTGACTAAAGGATGTCCTCTGCAACATCATTTATAACACCAAAGTACTGGCAACAAATGCTCAAGAATAAAGAGTGAATGAGTCATGGGATGCCCGTTAGAATATGATAGTGCTCCCCAACCCCTGAGTATAGATAGAGATATGTGGTAGCAGAGAAGGGCCGTGAGTTTTTATTGCCTCATTCATTCCAGGACTCCAAGGAGACAAAGGGTAGCATTATGCTGCTAGCAGGATCCTCTCAATTTTTAAAGAATGTATTTTTGCTTGTTTTCTTCTGTATCAACATATTAGCCATGTATCATTTCTATAAACATGAGAAGCATCATAATTATAAATGTGCCACAACATTCAACTCTTGCTACAATGGCTTCCAGTAAAGTCAGAATCCCAGCAGTAATCATCTGCCCATCCACCTGCCCAGTGGCCATGTGCTGCACAGTGCACAGTATAAGTTATGGTGAGAAATGGAATGGAGTATGCGACAGGAACCTCCAATCAGCCAAGGTGATTACTATGTAGAAGGTATCAAAATATTGGAAGGCAGAAAGCACCTCGCGTAGCAAAGGTGCTAGGAACAAACTCTGCAGCAGTTCAGAAGGGGGCAGAGGCTTGACACAGTTACCCTTTTTTCGGAGACAGGCAGGAATTCCTCCTTGGCTGTTTCCAGGAACTCCACAATAGGTCTGAGCTCTGTTACACACTGGATCAGGTCCTCTTTGTGTTCTAGTAACAGAACAGACAAGGTCTTTCCCTCCCCTGCGCTCCCTAGGGGAGAAAGAATTAGAGACACACAAGAGAAGCTAGTCAATTTGAAGAAAATGACAGCGTGGTCTGTCGAGAGAGATCTAACAGAATAGTAAAGTGCTTCGGTGCACCTGAATGCAGAATCACTTTTGGAGAGGAAAATACTTTATTATTCTGTTTAAACTCTATGAAAGGAAAAATGTTTCATTTATCTGTCGAAATACAAAGCTTCAGAGCCAGCCAGAGGTTAACTTCTGGTAGGCAAGGCCACTGCTTTGTACCTAACCCAAATGAGAGCAACTTCAGCCTTTAAGTGCTGGCAGCGAACCAGTCACTTGAGGCGCTGCTTTGGACATTCGACTTTTTGAAAGGCATGAGGACAGTGACAGTAGCCTCAGTTTGTTGAGGTACCAGTCTAGATAACTAGGGCTGAAATGGGGATTCACAGGAGGCTGTTCATATTTAACATGCAGCTTCTGGGCTAGCACAAGAGCCTACATGAAAGCCAACAATGACACACACCACTGGCTGGAACTCTAAAAGTTGAGTCACTTGGGTGGCCATAATGCCCTCCTACCTTCTGGCTGTAGCTGAGACACCTTCTCTGCAGGTGTGGACTCCTGGTACAGTCTCATCAGAGACAAGACCACCTTCACGTCCAGGCTCCCATCGTGTACTTTGTCCAGGAGTCTCTGTAATGCTGAGCCTCCTCCTTCATCCTTAAGACATCCCATTATGGTCTGTGAACCAAGTACCCAGGGAGAAACAGATTAATTACCTACAAGAACTGTATCTGTGGCGTGAGGGCTCTGACAACTTGATCCTCACACCTCTCCATCAGCCCTGCACCTGCACCAGTTTGTAGGTATAGCAACCCAGCCAGCTCAGCCGCCAGGGCACCCACAGGCCCACTTCCTCTCTGCTGGTCCTCCTCTGTACTGGACACACATGCTAGCATGCTAGAACTGTTTCATTACTGCTTTCTCCTCGGAGACTTTCAGAAGACAGCAATCATGCTCCCAGGGCTCTACGGCCACAACAAGAAGAAACTAGCCTGCCACACAGTAGCTGTGCAGTATATTTTTAACAAATGTAATGCACTTCTTGCCTAATTAGACCTTTCTGAATCTACAACACTGGATATTTCTCAGGCAAAGATATCTGAATTTCAAATTGAACGAACTGTCATTTTACTATTTGAGAATGCAATTAAAATCTTGTGAGTTAGGAAAAAAGAATACTTTAAGTCATTTACATTCTGAATGATAGACTATTTAGAAAGACATGGGCCTTATTACTTTTAGATCTATTCTGTAATAAGGCTAACAATGTGTTGGCTTATAGGTGCCAGCTGTCAGAGAGTATGATTCACATATTAACTACCCCATGGTAACGGCTATATCTCCTCTAGAAAGGGAAAGTGTCAAAGTTTCTTCTGGAACCAACACTCACACACGGCCTGCCTTGCCTCTCACTTCATGCTGCCTGACCTTTCAATAACATCTGGCATCACTCTGCCTTGGTATCAGTTTTCTGACATCAGTGACCATGAAATACTATGGTTAGAAAACCATCTTTGTGGCCAGCCCTTTCAGCTTTCTCCCAAATCCATTACCATAGCAGGATCTAAAACTGCCTAAAACATTATTTTTGAGGAGACAGGGAATTGTCACACAGCCTGGCTGGCCCCAGCCTCCTGCCAACCCTTGCTTCTTTCCCTGAAAATCCTGTGAAGAGGCTCACTCTCCAGCCCTCTTCTGATCTAGAGCCACACAGCTCTGCAAGATATGCCTTAGACTCCAGGTCTCAGGGCCACACCCTCGACTACTTCAAACCACAATAAAGTATCAGCAACTCCAGTGGCAACATAAACAAAATGAACATGCCTTTCTTTAATTTGATAGAACATTTCTTACGTGAATGGGAGGAAGACCAATGGGATAGTAAAGTTAATATTTGTATTTTAACAAAAATTTATTTTGAAAAACATGAGGTCCACCATGTTTCCTTCATATAGTTGCATGCGTACTTCTTATAGTAACCTTTAAAGGGAGTTTCTTATGGTTTTGGTAATCTCTAAAAGTAAACTTGAACAAAACTAGTTTAACACTTCCATAGCTAAGAGCACTTGCTGCTCTTGCAGAGGACCAAGGTTCAGACTCTAGCATCCATGAGAAGTTCACAACCACCTGAAACTCCAGCTCTGGGGGAACTGATGATGTCCTTTCTCTTCTGGCTTCTGCAGGCATCTGAACATACTGCATGGGTGCAAGTGCACACACATTTTTAAAAAATCTACATAAAGATTTTATAAATAATTTCCGTTAACCTTAGGTAACATATCATCTACTTTAAAAACAATGAACAAGAAATGAAGACATCAGGTGAATGCTTTAAATCCCCTTTGGCCAAATTAACCCAACTTCTCATGTTTTGTTAGCTGGTCTACCATCTCTTTGGAGTACCCTTCACTGACAGCAGTAGGGATCCTGAGGTCAACAACATGCAAAACAGCTCCCAGGACTTCTGCCTCCAGGTGCATGTGACAGTGCAAGCATGGCCATGCTCTGCTCACCTGCTGTCTCTCTCTGCCTTGCTCTGGGAGATGCAAGCCACCATGTTTCGACTGCCCTAGGGAGAGATCACTGGAAAGAAGGGACAGGTCCAATTGCAGCAGAGTGTAGTGTGAAAGCACACCTTCTGGAATCTGCTAAGATCCTGGGGAGCTGAGCCCAGAAACAACAGTAGCTGGCTGACACTCCAGCTGCAGCCACATGAGGCTCAAATCAGGGACCAGCCAGGTTCCACTGAACTCTTGACCTGCAAAATCTGTGGGAATAAGTAATTGTCTCCAGGCTGCTGAATGTTACAGTGATTTCTCACCTAGGAAGAGCTAGCTCATAGTTAAGACTCTCTTCACTCCTAACACCCTCAGTAAACATATTACTTCCTCCGTTTTCCTTTTCCTCCCTCCCTTCCTTTCTTACTGATATCACAGTCACCCTATTCTACCCCAGGCCAGGCTGTTTCCTTTGCTCACCTCTGGCTCTCTGAATAGTACACATTCTCTCTGGGTATCCACTGTGCCTGGCATGATCACCTGAGCTGAGGGGAATGGAGCTTCCACCAGCGGTGGCTTCTGAAGTGCTCTCATCTGCTGTCTCTCCCTCTACAGAACTACTCAGCGGTGAAATTAAAACATTTGTTAACTTCATTGCTCAGCAGTGGTGCTGGGTGACCACCTGGGAGGAGGAGCAGGAGTGGGCTGATGAAAGGGCAGGAGGGAACCGTCAGCTGTCTGGACAGCCCCGCTCTTCACTCCAGCACTGACTGGACAGCCACATCAGAGCCGGCACTCCAGGCTTGCAGCCCCCCTTCTGCGACAGCAGCTCTGCCTAGACAGGAGTGCCAAGAGGGTGCCATACATTGTGCAGGGCTGCTACTATGTAAGGGAACTCCACGATCCCAAGTAAAACACAGCCTTGTCACTGGGAGCAAGCTCTTTAACCAAACACTACAACTTCATTGACTCTTAAGGGGTTAAAGGAACTTCAGTAAATCCATGCCAGCACATGTTCATATAAGTAGTCAAAATTAGCAAGTGAAACATAGGTAGACTAAAAGATGAGGCAGTTAGTTCTCCTTCTACAACACAGGAAAAAACATCCCTTCACTCACGCCTTTTCATTGGATTTCTATGCTTATCTCAAATGTTTCTTCCTAGGACCTCCACTTTTGTCTGGGTGACAGTCTTGTGCACTCTGTCCCCCCACCCCTTCCATGATGAGGGCCAGGAGAGAAAAATCATGATGATAAAGATGGGGCTGGGGTATAGTTCCTGGGTAGTGTGCCTGTTTAGCATACATCAGGCTCTGCTCAATTGCTACTACCAAAAATAAACTATGACACAGACCATAGATAATCGTTCCACATCATCTTGGATTTGCTGTCCACTCTGCTCCTCACACTATCCCAGGTTGCATTCCTTCTGCTATTCTAGATGAGCACTGGAGAAGCGAAAGTCACAGGGCAACAAACAGAGTAGTCTGAACGAAACCCTGGATACATTAAATCCATCTGCACTGGATGCTACTGGACCTACCAGAACTAGTCACTGAACACTGACTAGGACACAGGCAATAAACATGCCATTCTTCTTAATCTATGTGATTACTATGGGACACAGTGCTCACACGAAGTTTCACTGAACCTTTCCCTACAATTGCAAGCCTTTCTAGAGCTCTAGCAGTGTGGCCCAGCCTTGATGAGCAGAGAAGATCTTGAAAACTGCAGGCCTGTGAAATGACTGCCAGTTAGGGTTCTGAGAGGGTTACCCCAGCCAGTAAGCACTGTCCTTAGGACGAAAAGCTACACCATGCCACAAGACAAAGCAGTGCTACTACTGAGAACTGAGAACATGAGATTCCCAGAGGAGAAAACTAGCTTGCCTTTGAAATGCAGCTGAAGGAGAATGAATACTACCTGGTCTTCAGCTCTGGAAGTCTTTCTGGGATGTGAGATTTGAAAGTGAAACAAGACAGCCCAGAAATCAATAGTGGAGAACTTAGCTTCTTATTTGTGACAAAGATCACTTTGCTATACATACAATTAATGTAAGACCCTCAGAATGAGGAGTCTTCCAGGTTCGGTCAATACCCCAAGAACTCAATGTCCAGTCCAGTTGCTGCAAAATTCAAGAGGCTTTAATGAACAGGAAACGTTTGCGCAAACGGGCTCCTCCAGTACGCAGGCTAGGGAGAAGCCCCCTCTCCCGGGCACAGGTGTTTTTAAAGGCAAACCCACAAGCTTAGGGAGGGGGTGGGACCCTCTGTCCATTGAGTAGTGACCCTTGGAGGCTGGATGGTCTGCTATTAGGGTCAGCAGACCTTAGGGCCTCAGGTGTGCTAATTAATCTTGTCTGGGCAAACCAGAGTTACAGCTATCTCTTGACCCTATTTACCACCTGTTGACTCACAGGAAAGGAGGGGCAGTGTGAATTCTTATCATCTCAGGGCCTTGTGAGAGGAAGCTAGCAAATTCCAAGGAACAAATATTGGTTTCTAGGTTAGACCATCATTAACATTACTTTTTAGGTCTTTCATTAACTAATGCAGGGACATAGCCAGGAATAAGAGAAGACAAAAGTTATAGCACAAATTAAAAGAAAGTACGGGCTGCCTTGAAACAGGTTTTACTCAGCCAGTAACTACTTGCTTTCTTTAATGGCGATGGTAGTTAGACTGTGCGCACTCTGGCAGGAGATGCTCTCATGCCCCAGTCCCAGCAGACCTATTGTGATCAGTTCCGGCTGTGGAACTTCCCTGGGTTCCAGCACCCTGCCTCTCGTGTTTCAGCAATCATTGCTTAGGAAATGGCTTTGCCACGTTTCATCAGGTAGCTTGGGAGATAAACATATCAGGACACCAGGAGCCCATGTCCTCCCTGAACTCAGTCCAGGACATAAGTACATCTCCTGTGTTTCAACCAGAACCTGGTACCACTCACCAGTGGCAGCAGGCCTCAAATGGCACACATAGTGGGATTATTTTTAATGATGTCAAGTTACATCAGATTCCCAAGTTCTACTACGACCTAAGAATGAGACTCTCCAGAAGCTACATCTTAACAAGTATTCCAGACCATATGGAACCCACCATTGTTCTAGAGAGACCAAGGACTTTGTCTGAGACCCCACACCTGCAATTCTGGAACGTAGTTCCACTCAAGAGCTTGTTACCTTTGTGAAAACATGCTCCATAGATTAAGTCTAGGGGCACACAAACATCTCACATGCCAGAATAAAGCACATAGCACTAAGACATCATAAGGCACTCAGTGAAAAGGGGGCATTGAAGCTGCTTAGGCCAAAGAGCACCAAGGTAATTACAAATCAAGGCAGCTGCTGTGTACCTGACATTTTACAGAGATGTCATATAAATACATGATGACCCTCTAAGATGGCACCTGGAGACACTCCCGTTTTATAAAGTAAGAAACTATACCCATAAAGACTAGGTTGCTCAAGGTCACAAGGAAGTAGCAAGTTGGTTAAATAAACTATTAGTCTTGCAATGGAGCATTACCCCAGCAAGAAGAAGGAATGAACATACAATAGCACGGATGGGTCTCCACAAAGTATGTTAAGGGAACAGACCCCCACACACTCCGTTTATGTAATACTCTAGAAAACACAAACTAATCTAAATAGACAAAACCAATCAGTGGTTACTTAAAGCCTGGCCCAACTGGGGTCAGATAACTGAATGTGTGTGAGGGGGGTCAGGTGGGGTGGGGGGAGATGCTATTACAAAAGATTTGTTGACAAAATGTTTCTGAACATGCAACAGTAAGAAAATCAAAGTTAAAATCAAGTGGGTAATAAATCTGTGCAGTTTCTGGCAGTGCTCGCTTGGTCTGATGGTGTGACTTCACCGAGGCTTTGGTTCTGAATGTACAGTGTGTACTATTTGTTCTGCACACACTGGCATGCCAGGCAGAGCCACAAACGCTACCTCAAGCACCTCTGCCATCAGTCAAGACTACTGCTTCTGGGAACTACAGGAGTTTTACTGTCCTCACCAAGTCCCCTGCTTACAGAGACATATGGGAAACAAAGATTGAATATTTTTCTACCATCATTTCTCAGCATGTGAGTATTGAATTAGTGCATTTTGAGCTGTGATTTGCTAGAATGTTTGATTTTTCAAATTGCTGTTTAAATTGCTGACTTGTATTTTATTTTATTTTTAAAAAATGTTAAGTGAATTTTGGCAGAGATTAGAACAGAATTTCACATCATTTCTGAAATGGCCCTAAACATACTTGTGCCATTTTGTGTGAAGTCCAAGTACTCATCAACTCAGAAAATGTGAAGATGCTCTCTACATCCTGTAGTATCAAATATTCAGCCAAGGTTTAGTTCTTCACATAAAAATAGACAACCATCTAATTAGAATGCAAATCTGCTTTTATGTGTAATAAATGATGAAACTATATATACACCAAAAATTATCTTAAAATACATTTCTTGATGACTTATTGTCAATAAATGTTGGACTTGGCTATCTGTTTTATAGACCTGTATACCCAGGATCACACAAAATTTCTCAAACAAAAGTGGGTTGTGAACAGAGAAGGTTGAAGCAGCTTCACTTAGGGAGTAGGTGAGCCGAGGGGTGGTTTGCCAAAGGCCATGAGAAGATCTGGGGTGCTGCATGTCCACCTTGACTGTGAAAATGGTTTCTGGACACACATTGAGACTTATCAAGTCGTGTACTTCACTGCAGCAAAGCATGCCTCTCCAGAGCTGGCTGAAAGGGATAAGAGCAGGAGAACCTGGAACAAGATGGCTCCCATCCCCAAACCTAACTCAGCAATTCATTTTCTGAATTGATGGGGATCAAATCCAGGACCTTGTGCTAACTAGGCAAGACTTCTACCATGAGCTACATCCTCTGTCCTTATATTTAATTTAACCTTATGTTCTTAAAGACCGTTTCCTTTTGTATTATGTATTACAGGCTATAATGGTTTAAAATAGGGCCACCAAGTGATTTTTAAAGCTGGTATTCTGACCTTTACAATCGAGGAAGAAATAACATAAGCCTGTAATGATCACCAGCAGTGACTCAGGGCTGCCTGCCTGCCATCAGCACTGCCATCAGAAGGTTAGGACAAGAATTAAAACAGAAAGAAAAAAGAAGTGTTTAACAGGCCCTCATAAAAGATACATTTTTGTCATTTATTTTTCTTTTATGTGTGTATATGCGTGTTCTGGCTGCATGTATGTATGCACATCATGTTTGTGCATAGTGTCCACAGAGGCTAGAGTTATGGATGGTTGTGAGTCTCCATGTGGGTGCCGGGAACTGAACCCAAGTCCTTTGTAAAGTAACGAGAAATGGCCCAATGGTTACAAGGGACATTTTTAGGCACAGTGTTATCCAAAAATGGCAAAGTCACAATTCAAATAAATACAAGCATTACTAATCTTCGCACTGCTATCCAAGGAATGATGTTCCTTCCAAGGGAAGTGGAGAAAGGCCTAAGGGAGAAAATGAAGAGGTGTACCTAGAAGTTATCAAGGTAATAGACCAATGACTAAAGTGATGGATTAAGCTGTGAAGAGAACATGCAAGGGCAAAAAATATAAAACCATGATGTCTTTCAGAGCAATCAGACAAAGTGGGGGAGGGACTTACAACTTGAACCCCCTCATCCCCAGAGAGACATCAAGAGTTACCCAGAATGTAAAAATTATTGCTCTCAAGGCAGAGATTTATGACTATGGCCAACTACTTACTAATAATGGTTAAAATCAATACTAAATTTGTTTTCTAAAATGTAACCTACAATGGGCCAGGAAAATAATGAAATGCTGGTAGGCATTTACTGACAGAATTAGCAGTCAACAAGCCTATAGCACCAGGAAACCCTCATTCTACCACTCCCCACCAGATGGGTCAGCCTGCTGGAGGCCCCCTGCTGAGCTCTCAGCAGGTTCCTCAGAGGAAGCAGGTGGGCTTCTAAGTGCCTGTGGAGTGAACCCTGCAAGGTCAGGCGTGCAGAGCACAGTTGCCTTAAAACAGAAAAGGGCAGCTAAGAAGCAGCATGGCAACCATCTGGCAGCTTTCCTGTCAGGAGATTCCTAGTGTGTTTAAACACGTGGGTCACTTCCGCCTGCTGGAATCAGGGTAACTCAGCTTGCAGCTCTCTAAAGTCAGAATTCCAGCTGAGGGTATACTCGGAGGTAGAGGGCTTACTTTACACACACAAGATAGGCCCTGGGCTCTATCCTCAGGACCACACATAAAGTCAGAATCTTTGGTTTTTCATTCTGGCTGAGTTCTTATGTGCTCTGTGCCTTTACCAGGCTATTTAACCTCTTTGTATTCTCAGCCATAAAATAGGACATAAAATAGATCCATAATTTTTGTGAGGATTAAAGGAGATAAATTATGTATCAAGCTTAGCAAGCATTATTAAATAAATGTCTGCCATTTAATGGAAGGAAGAAAGGGAGGGAGGCGGGAGGGAGGGAAGAAGGGAAGGATGAAGAAAGGGTAAAAAGCTTTGAGGCAAAACGTAGACGAAAAGAAATAGGTTAAATTAAGTTATAAGAGCTAGCAAGAAACAAGCCTAAGCTAAGGCTGGCATTCATAACTAATAATAAGCCTCTGTGTCATGATTTGGAAGCTGACTGGTGGCCCAAAAGAAAGTTTGGTATAAGGCACCATGGTGCAAACCTGAAGTCCCAGCACATGGAGGCTGAAGCCAGAGGATGTTCAAGGCCAGTCTGGGTTACAGAGCAAGGCCCGGTCTTAAAACACCTGATTTAAAAAAAAAAAAAAAAAAAAAAAAAAAAAAAAAAGCTGGATTCTCATGGTGATCAAAATACAACTTCCTTTTTGAAGTTACTGCTTAGCAGTCTTTCAGGACCCTTCTTTTGGGAAGGGAGGGAGGTCATTCATGAGGAAAAGTGAAACCCTAGGTGGTTTGCATTTTTCTATTTCTGCCCCGTGAGGGACACCAACTTGGATTCCTGAGATGTTGAACCTAGACAAGTGACATTCAGAGGCACCTACCTCCTTCTGGGGGCTTTTAATCTCTGAGCATTCGTCCAGTCTTTTCAAGGTGTCCTGGTTGAGCAAGGCTGCATTTGAGAAGACACTTTCATGTTCTCGCAGGAAATTCAGCTGGTCCTGATCCTTCTCACACTCTGAGTGAAGAGCACAATGAACAAAACAGGGCTTTATCATGTGAAATGATGGGAAAGCATTTCAGACGAGGACCTAGCACATGATGGATAAGAAGGGTGCCAGCATTTCCAGGCTTTTTCTCCACACATCATCTGCCTGGTGATGGCCCTGGGGAGCTCTGGGAAGCCCAACACTGCTGTCTTAGTATTGCCTCTCTGCTCTGTGCTCACTCCGATTTTCAATACCAAAACAACAGACAGTTTCAAAAGAAGATCCCAGTGAGAGGCCGCAGCAAACTGTGGTCTCCTTCCTGACGGTGACCTCTGGCAAACTATCAGTGAAACTAAACATTTGCAGAGCGTGGTGACACATGCTTTTAATCCCAGCACTTGTTAGGTAGTGGCAGGAGGATTGCCATGAGTTAGAGGCCAACATGGTCTACATGGTTCCAAGTCGATTGGGATTCCATAGAAGGACTTGGCCTCAAAATATCAAACAATAACAAAACAAAAAATTTAAAAACTAAAACCACCAAATACTGTAATTGTCAACAGAAGTATGAATTTCAATTAAATATAAACTATATAAAATAAAATACAAAATGAAGTGACTGTTACCTGTTTCTGTGTTGGCTTCCTTTGCCTCACTTGGGATCTGTCCAACAGGAGAAGGGGAACATACTTCAGCTGCATGAGGAGTCGCCGCTGTGATCTCTGCAGCCACCGGGACAATGGGAGGATCTGATTTTATCTCTTGGGTGGCCACGTGAATTATGTCCTGGGTCTTGGCTTTCTCAGGGCTTGCTGGTGTGGTAGAAACTTCCAGGGAAGAAGAGGGCTCCCCAGGACCTTCAGAAGAAATGACTTCTACTTGAGGCTTCTCTGAGTCCTTGCTACCTGCCTCTGAGGACAGCACCGAGATATCCCTTACCACCTGCCCCTGGACAGAGCAGTTCACAAGATTGGTCAGAAGATTTTTACAACCAACAGCTACGTCAAACATCTGCAGGCTATCTGCTAAGGAGATGATCTTGGAGAAATTGTGCTTGCCCACGGGGAGCTTGCCAGTGTATGTCATTTCTAGCAAGAGGGCAAACTCCTCAGGGCTCACCACAGATGCGTCAATGGAGATGGCATCTGTGCCATCCAGCAAGGTTTTAAACAGGAGGCTGGCTGCTGCCAGGACGAGCTTATGGGCCCTGAAGTAGATGTTGCCTATGGAAATAGTGCAATCACAGAACCGCTGCTCCTTGCACAGGGCGTAGAGCTGCAGCAGCAGCTGCTGGCTATAGTTGGGGAGTTCCATGGTGTGGCTCCTTCCTTTCTCCCTCCGGACGCCACCTAGTGAGGATCAGCCCTAGAGAGACCCACAAAGAACTATGTTAAACAAACTAGCATTCAGGAAAGGCCTAGTGGGAGATGCTCAACAAGCCAAAGGACAATTCATTCATTCACTCATTTAGTGTTGCACAACAGGGAGGGGCAGGGCACCAGGACTCCTGAGTTAGCAATAATTATAGTCATAGTCCTACGTGATTAGTTAGAGTCAGGGACCATGCTTAGTGCCCTGCATGTATGGTCTCACTTTCTCCTCGTGGTGACTCTAGAAGTCATTTTTCCTTCCCTATTCCACAGAGTAGCTGAGGGGAACCCAGCTATGGAAGGAAGGGCCTGTGATCACTACAGGCTAATCTGGAAGCTGTAATTGCTCTGCTGTATGCCACTCTGCCCCCTAAGAGCGCTGGACAGCAGGAGGGACAGACATAGACACAGACTGGAAATAGAATGTCCCAGGACTCAAGCTGTCATAGTACTGGGCAGGGATCATTACCTCCCCTTGTATACACTTGTCACTTGGTTCATGCTTCCACTGACTCACTGGTCAGGCTCCCTGTTTCCTTTGGGGGCATTCCTCATCGATTCTCCAGCTCAAGCTTCCTCTAAATTCCAGGTGTACACTTCCAACATCTGGTGTGCCAGCTTCCTGGTGTTCCTTCTCAATGTCTCCAACTGGAAACCTAAAAGGTTTTTGAAACTTTATGTCTCCAAAGCTCTCTGACATCTTCCCCATTTCCCAGAAATCCTGTCCTAACTGCTCACCAAAACCCTATATTGGGCTAGAGATGGCTCAGTAGTTAAGAGCACTGGCTGTTTTTCTAGAAGACCCAGGTTTGATTCCCAGCACCTATGTGGCAGCTCACAATAGTCTGTGACATCAGTTTCAGGGGATCTGGTGTCCACTTTTGGCCCCAAGGCTACCAAACATGTATGCAGACCAAACATACATGCAGACCAAATACTTATACATATACACTAAAACAAACAAAAAATCGATAGTTAACCCCAATGCCTGTGTTTCCTCATATACTAGATCTAATCCTCGAAAAGCCCCACTGGCTCTACCTGCACTATATGAAATCCTAGTACCCCTCATTCCTTCATGGGCAGATCGAAACTTCTACAATAACCTCATAGCTGATCTCCATGCCTCTGCCTGTCCCACTTCTATTCAGCCACAGTGATCTACTCAGCACACAGTCAGAGCCTGGCATTTCTTTTGCACAAGTGCCTTAAATGGCTTCAGTGTCAGATCAAAGTCAAGGTTCTGATAATGAACTGCACCAGCCCTTCATAACCCAGCTGTCACCGGCTGCCTAACCTCCCGTACATTCTGCTCCTCCGCCCCCAGCTCCCTGGCTGACCCAGGAGCATATGGAGGACACTTCAGCCATAGGGTCCCTCGCATCCCTGCCAGGGTGGCGTTCTCACCTCCACCAGCACACTGCTCAGGGGCCACGCAGGTAGCGCATTTGTAATCTGAAATGCTTCAGAGCCAGAAACTAGTTCATTCTTTCTTTTCTGTTTGTTTTATGAGGCAGTGTCTTTCTTTATGTAGCCCAAACTGGTCTGGAGTTCACGGTCTTCCTGCCTCTGCCTCTCAAACTATAGAGATTACAGGGGCAGTGGCTTGTAGGTGTGTGCTGCCATTCTTGGCTGCAAATCAGAAATGGCACCAACATGTTATCACAGATGAAAATTTTCATGGCTGAGCTGGAGAGATGACTCAGTGGTTAAGAACATTGACTGCTCTTCCAGAGGACCCAGGTTCAATTCCCAGCACCCACCCGGCAGCTCACAACTGTCTGTAACTCCAGTTCTAGGGGACCCGGCACCTTCACATGGGCATACATGCAGGCAAAACACCAGTTCATAAAAAAAGTCAACATTCAAGTTTACTAGCAATAGTAACTGTGTGTAATGACCTGCAGGCTAGTGTTCAAGAAACAAACAAGAATGAATACTTGTAGTGAGGTAGTCCTTCTGTAGCACTGACCACGCCCATTGGGGGGTGGAGCGATGGGCGGAGAGGACCTGGGGAAGGAGGTCGGAGGGGGCCAGGAAGGCGCTCTCTTGCTGGCGTGACTCGGACAGGAGAGGATCGGGTTGAATTTCCTGGTGTTCATCTGTCTAGGTTGTAAGTTATTTCTCCCTGAATAAACATCTATTCGGCCTATTTGTTTATCCTGATCCTTATTTACCGCAATAAATACTGTGTTTGCTTATTTATTTGAATACCATGTTTCTATTTAGGAGCCTGTCTTTAAGTCTCTGAAGGCAGATGTTCTAAAAACCAATATATCCAAAATATTTCATGTCTAGAACATTCCCAGGTAAGAACACTTGGCCAGTGTCACTGTCCTCACCTCACCCTGCCCTGCTTTCACCTATCACACACCACCCACTGGTGTGTGGTGCTCTGGTTGTGCCTCACCTGTCTCCTAGGTAATTCCTAAGCTTTACTGGGAGAGGATCTTTACTACTCGCTGTCTCTGGGTGCTTGAAATGCTGCCTAACATACATATTGTTGGTGACTTGGTAGAATAAAACACCAATTAGAGGGAAGTATACAATGATGGGGGTTTGCATACATATTGTTGGTGACTTGGTAAAATAAAACACAAATTAGAGAGAGGTATACAATGATGGGGGTTTCAATATGCATGTAACAACCTAATTTTGAAGAGAGGAGTCCAGGGGTTGGAGTAAAACTTGGAGGAAGAGTATTGGCTGATTTGCATGTGAGTATGCATGTGTGTGTGTGTGTGTGTGTGTGTGTGTGTGTGTGTACATGATGTATATTCATGTGGATGAATACAGACATCAGTTTACTTGGCCCATGAGTTTCGGGATAGTCCAATGTCTCCACCTTCAATCTCCCCACTGAAGTACTGAGTATAGACATGCTACACATTTAACTTTTATGTAAGTTCTGGAGATTTAAACTCAGGTCCTCATGTTGTATGGCAAGCACCTTTACATACTGAGCCATCTCTCCAGCTCCCTGACCTGCATCTTAAAAGATAGGAAGTAAGAAGGGTTGGGGGCTAAGGCAGTGTGTGCAGGGCAGCCTGCAGAAGGCACGCAGGTAAGAAAGCATCCTCTTGGTCAGGAGGAACACTGGGGTGGAGGAGGGTTATAAAAACATCTGTGGTGTTAGAATATAAAGTAAGGGACTGGGAGAGTCAAGAGATGGGTCTGGAGAGGCACAGAGTGATGAATAGGCCACTTGGAAGAACAGGGGTTTTCTCTTAAAGACAAAGAGAAGCCACTGAAGGTTTCTGTAGTAGAAAGTCACGTGGTCAAAGACTCAAAGACGTACTTTAAATATGTTATTTCGGTAGTGCTGCTGCTTCTCTTTCTCCTTCATTTTGGTTTTTTGAGACAGGTTTTCTCTGTGTAGCCTCCACTGTCCTGGAACTTGTTTGGTAGACCAGGCTGGCCTCAAACTCAGAGATCCACCTGCCTCTGCCTCTCAAGTGCTGGGATTAAAGCTGTGCACCACTATGCCTGGCATCAGCAGTGTGTCTACAGAATTTAAGGAAGATAATTTAACAGGCAGACTCTATTGTCAAAGGAGATCCAAACAAACCAATGAGGGTCTTCACCAGAGGTGGAGAAAGAGGAGAGTCCTAGTGATTTAGGAACTGCAGGGCATGAAGGAAGAGAGAAACAACACCCCAGGTCCCTAGTGTGGTAAGCAAGGCACTGCCTGGAAGGTCCAGATGACACTGGAGGAGACAGACCATGAGGGTACAGCTCAGGTTTGGGTTTGTGGATTCTACAGTGATGATAAAATTATAGCATCTCCAGAAAGTAATGGCAGTAAAACCTCTGTTTCTAAGAAAGAGAGAAATAGTAGCTGTCTTTTTAAACAATCGTGGCTGATTCTCCTTTTACCCACCACTAGTTTTATTTTTCCTGATACCTGAGAAACTAATGTATTTGGAGTTCAGGCTCCACTGTGCACGTAAAGGGCTGATAAGGCACCACTGTCCTCACAATAAGCTGAATAATGGGAAGCCCTGATTAGAGAAGAGACCACTGTCTCCCTAAGATGGGTGCCAGGCAGACACAGAAAATCACCAGGAACAGAGGCCCAGTGCAAAAGCCTCCCTCCAACAAGCATGGGCCAGGAAAACCTGATTCCTGATGAACTGATGGAGGCCTAGAACCCAGGGCACCAGGCACCCTGAGCACTTTCCTGAGCTCTCCTTTCTGGAGCTCCACCAGCTCCCTCATGGTGACTTAGACCCACCCACCTGTAACTTTAGTTCCAGAAGCATGATGCCCTTTCCTGGCCTCCACAGGCACCAGATACAAACCAGGCAAACAAATGCAGCCAAAATACTCACACAAAGTAAATCTTAAAAAAAAAAAAAAAAAAGTTACAAAGTCATTTCTAAGAAATCTTAGACTTTGTTTCCAATTCTAGCCATCCACCCACACCTCATAAGTGCCATGGTGGCTGGCATTTGTTAATTCACACAATTGTTTCAGTTTTATCAGAGGCCCACCATGAGCATTTAGCACTATCCTTTGGGTACAGACTATCTTAACATCTATGTTTTAAAAAGATATGTGGCTATTTGTGGTGCTGCATTCGTGAAACCCCAAGCAGCGAGAAGGCAGGAGATCACCAACTTCTAGGCCAGTCAGGGCTGCACAAAAGCCACAGAGGACAAAAGTCCTGTGTGTTTCTAAAATGCATGAGTCCCCAGGGCTGAGTGACTGAAGTGACAGCAGCAGCATGAACAGCATGGGAATTTGTATCCATCTCATGGTACTCGTAGCAAAAGAAAAACGCTGCAGAAATTTAAAAAATTTTAAGCATTGTCTATGAGTCCTTGTGGTCAAACTAGTTAATATTTTTATTAACAAGAAGAAATAATAATGTAATAAGTTGATGAATAAACATTTGGGCAGAGTAAAGACAAATCAAATCAAATTACAGGATCTCTTTTAAAAACAATAACAAAGATTTTATTTATATTTATGCTATTTGTATGGGTGCTTTGC